CCTGTGTTCCAGAACGGTCTGTAGATAGCGAAGAAGTCACCAAAGGCTTTTTGCTTGAGGGCGTTGATGAAGTCTGGGCGGGACATGCTGTGCGAGCGCTTGATCTCAAAGTGAGATGTAAAAGTCTTGTAGAGATCATGGTTCCATTTAATGTCGTCGCCGAGATGAAGAACGATTGGTTTGGACATTTTGGCGGTGCTGAGTTTGCTAGAAGGGGAAGGTTAGTTGTTGATTGAAGAATGAGATGTTGGAGGCAGGGTATTATAATGATACGATGTTACAGTGCTGGAGTGTGAACACGGGCATTCGGCCGATGGGCCATGTTGAGAGAATGCCGGCTCTTGAGTGGGTAATTCTGGCCGTTGGACGGTTAGAGATCGACAGTTTGGGGGAATTTTGGCCCTAGAGATCCATAGAAAAGACGTAACGGAGAGGTTGGATTGGTTGGGGTGAGTACCCCGGATAGTGAGATCGGGGTTCTTCCCGAGCTGCCGTTGGTATGAGGGATCGGCGGTGAAACGGAATCTGGGGTAGCTGAGGCGGAGATGTTACGAATGCCCTATTGAGAAAAGAGAAAATTCCGAGTTACTAGTAATGAGGAATGGAAGGACAAATTCTAATGCTTTGAGAGAGTAGTATTGGTGATATACTTTTACTGGTCACGTCTGGCTGAGAGCCTGAGATACATCTTCAACAAAGGACCATTCATCGACTGAGTCTTTACTATTCTTCCAACTAACCTAGCCTCGCATATACCTATCGCATCACTCCATTCATCATGATCAAGCAGCGAAACGGAGTTTCCTGTGTAGCCACCCAGCTGCAACAGTGTTGCCCGCTCTCGGCTCCTAATCCTTCTTCTTAATCCTAGGGAAGCTCAACCAAACACCAGCAACAACAGTAATCAACGCAAGAATGATAGGCTGCAAAACACCAACACCCTTATGGTTAGCGATAGCGCCGATGGCGAACGGGAACACCGTTCCGCCGGTACCACCAATCGCCATGGCAAATCCGATAGCCGACACGTGGATTTTAGCGGGTAGAAGTTTGGCTGTGACCATGACGGCTCCAGGGAATAGAGGGCCGAGGAAGAATCCGAGAAAAGCGACCGCAACGGCTGATACGATGAACTTAGGTACCAGCCAGAAAAGGAGTTGAAGGCCAATGCAAATGAGGAGATAGATCGTAAGACAGAGCCTCTCGCCGAATCGCTCGGTTACGAAGCCAAGACATGCGCGCCCGAGAGCCATACCGGCCCAGAAGCCAGTTCCTGAAGCACCTGAAGCATATGCTGAAGCTTTTCGGACGCGGAGCATGAAAGTGACGACCCATCCACCAAGACCGACTAGAAGAATGAGCATTCGAGTTTTCAAGATCACCACCAGGGAGACATACCTTCAACGCCCATGTATGCAAAGAAGAACAATGCACAAAGCCACGTAACTTTGGACTTGAGCGCCTCTCTTGTTCCAGCACCACTACCCTCCGCGTTATTCGCAGCATGCTCAGCCTGATAAACAGCACCAGTCTGCTGCCAAAACGAAACCGTCAAGCCAACCCACTCCACCACAGAAATACCAATCTAAACCATCAGCCACCGCAAACCATATCAAATCATGATGACTCACCATAACGTAATAAAACGTATACCAAGGCAACCCCGCCGAAACAACCATACTCGTCGCGATAAGCGGTGAAAACAGCGCGCCAAACGAATAAAAAGCGTGTAAGAAGCCCTGCACTGTATTCGCTTTATCCATAGCTCCAACCCAAGCGCAGAAACACGCGTCTGTGAGTCCGTTTCCGAAGCCGCTCATTATGTTGCACACGACAAGGACGGGGTAGGGCGGGTGCAGGGCGAGGGCGATGAAGGTTATTAGGTGGCAGATTGGCGCCACGATGGCGATGCCTCGTTGGCCGAATTTCATGTGGATGCGGGCGTTTGTGAATGCGGCGACGGAGTAGCCTGCGAAGGGGGTGAGGAAGATGAGGGAGATGATGGTGTAGCTTAGATCGTAGTATGTTTCGAGCTAAATTGTTAGAGGAGTGGTGAGATTGGGTTGATCAACGTACATATGGGATCAAAGCCTGCGATTGTTAGTAAAGTTGATGAATGGGACGGGGGAACATACGCCAACAGCTGCATCGTTCATACCAGCAATGATGAACGACAGAAACGCAAAAGCAAGCTTCGCTATATTTCCCCTGGGATAATTCCATCGTTGAACCTGCGCCGACGCATACGGCGGGGGAATATCATCTGGTGGGATAGAAGGTTGTTCTTCGAGTTCTTTACCGTGGACGTGACATCCTTCCAGAGTCGTGAGCTCAATGGGTTCTTGGGTCTGAGTCGCTGTGCTCGACATAATGAAGATGACAAGTTTAAAGAAGAAATAGGTGGGAGAGGTGAGATGGTGGAGGTTTTATGGGAGGGCGGGATCTGCAGTGCGGATAAATACCGCGAGTGCGTTGTAGAGCCTCAATAGGTAAGAGAGCCAGCGGAATGTCGATGTTGATGGTGGCATTGGATGCGGGGTGTTATGCTTATCTGGGGCGCTAGACTTGGTGGAGAAATATTCGGTAGGGAATGCGGGCCGTTTTCCGGGCTTGTTTTATCAAATGACCGCCAGAAGAACAGAAGAAGAAACTCGGTATATTCCCGTGAGTAACGCAAGACCCTTTTTGGATAAGAAGGCGTTTCTATAGTCACGCGGGATAGTCAGATCATCACGGAGCGCATTGACTGATTTGTTCACAGGGAATAGAGGCTAGTCCCTGTGGTGTCAACATAACAAAGAAAAAAGAAAAGTCAAATGGTTCTGCCGATTATTGCTCCCCAGAAAGGAAGAAGAAGGATCGGACCTTGTTCCGTTATCAACACAACGCAACATTTGTTCTAGAACGGCTCACACATTTTATCTTCAAGAGCTATCGAAGATGAGCATTACAAGCTGGTAGCTAAGTTTGAAGACTTAAAGCTTCGAATAGGATTATACAGTCAAGGAGTATAGTGTCAAAAGATGGTTCGATTCAAAGTAGTGCACAATGCTATATAAAGTTATCTCCTCGAAGAAGATTTCCTCTTTCGGCCATGAAAAATACTTTGATGTTTTAGAAGGCTATCCTCTCTGGTAAAGCTCGCTTCTGGACATTCGGAACAATAGTAACGCTTTCTATGCTCTTTCCGCTGGTGCGTTTCCAAATGCCTCGTCAGCTCTCTTTCCTGCAACATCTTCTCACAAAAATAACAAGGCCTGAAAGCTGTAGGAGTATTATGATGAGACCTGGGAGAGTAATCAGAAACTCTAATTTGTCACTTTCGCTACTGGTCACCTACTCTGTGTCGTACATTTGTCCTGAAGAGCCGTAGGTATGATCCAGGGAATCAAGCGCCATGCGAGCTCTGACAGCCTCTGTTGTTGCAATAGACAGGGGCTGGGAGGTTAGTTATTGTGCTAATGGTTCTGGGGCTTCTATACCGACTTGGTGCGTGATGGGCTCCTCATGATATGAAGCCATGTTATTGTATTGGCCAAGATCGAACGCAAAAGGCAGAGAATTTCGGATCTCGTAGGATGAGTTGGGTGGTATATTAGGTCTCTAATGAGCCGAAATATATCCTCCAGACACGCTATATGAGACAGCAGACTGCTCTTCAATAGGTGCCTCTGTGCTGAAGCTAGTCCCAGAAAGCGTCGGCATGAAGCCAGTAGCGAGGTAGCCGTGACTAAGGATGTTTCTTATGTCACGAAGCGCCTCTGTTTCATCCGGGGTTATTTCGATGTCGCAGTTGTCGAAGTCGAAAGTGGTTAAATTTGTATTTTCCGAGTCCTCATTTGCCCCCGCCATGGAGATGGTGGAATACGCAATGGGAGGAGATGACGGTACAGATTGTTCCACAGATGACATGGTAAAATGAAGTTACTATTGTAGAACAACCTGATAAAACTGAAAACCGATGACTAGATGAACCAAAGCAAGTGGTGTATCCAAAAAGCGAGTTAGTGGCTGTTATTATAAGTCCCTGAGCGCCATTCAAGCGTCAACGAGGACAAACTTTGGAGATGTCGAGGTCTTCGAAAACACCGTACCGACCATTTTGCCAAGGTTGATTGGTTAGTACGTCATATGTAAGTTGACAGCTAGCTAATGCGGACGGCCAGCTAATGCAGACGGCCAGCTAATGCGGACGGCCAGCTAATACAGGCGGCCAGCTAATGCAGGCGGCCAGCTAATGCAGACGGCCGACTATTTCAGCTTTGGTGATTCATCTTTTATCACTTCTGGCCGTAGAACATCGTCGTTGGTGGAATGTAACTTATCACTGATGTTTATCTGTGGCCCCCAAACCCCCTGAAAGTCAACTAACCGCAGTTGGTACCGAAGTGCGTAATCTAAGTGCTTATGATTTGTCTAACTTACTTCGCGCTCCATCCGCTACGACATTGAAGTTCACCGGTCGGCATTGTACAAGGGCTTTGAAATTAACATGGATGACCAGCGAATGATTTCAATTCAAAAGCTACAGGTCACCCTGCATTCTTATAGACTCAATAATATACAGGCTCCTCTCCACCCTGCATTTGCATTGCATTGAAACAATCACGGCTGCACTTGATTCGCCGAAGATGACACGACACGGGACAGTGATTGCAAGCGGCTTGAAATCTTACTAGTTGAGAGACTTTTACACATCTGCATTTCAGCCTCTGACGTTCCCCTAAGCATTTCGCAAAAGATAAGAAAGGGGCTTGTATGGAAAGAGGCAACAAATGGGGATTTGCGTAGAAATCTGTTGGATGAGAGCTAGACTCGAGAAATCTTCCAGAGGTCCACAAAGATATGTCATCAACTGGGATTTACTATATTAAGGAGGTCTACGACGTAAACCTAGCATACTCAGTACCAAGCGAATTCAGAACAATCCGTGAACCCTATCTACTTTGCTCTTCATATAAAATTTATCATCCCTTTATATATCATTTCATAACAACAAAATGAGCTCTTCCAACAACCAAGCATCCAAGGCTCTCAACAGCAAGCAGCAGAGACAGTACCAGTGTCTTTGCATTTTGCTTCAAGCTATCAACGAGACTTGCAAACTCAGGAGCGATATCAGATACTCCTCCGGAAAGAGTCACAACTATGCCCTCTTGACTGAATTTCAGAAGCTCACTTGTAAAATCGCACAAATTCTCGATAATGAGAAGGGTGGCGATTCTGCCACAGCGCTTATTGTTGCGAAGGGGCTGTGTGGACCAGACTACGTTTTTGCTTCAAACTCGAAGAAAGCACCTGAACTCGAAAGAGCAAAGTCGTTTCTCTCTGACCTCCTCGAGTACGTGGGAAGCAACCCTGATGAATTGACTCCCAAGGCACTGCAAAAGCAAGTCTTTGATCGTATTCTTGAGTTCAACTTTCTCAGATTCGATGCATACCTAAACGGACTGGGCACTGCTTTGCAGTCTTGCATCGATGACTGCGAGAGATCACAGGACCCTAACAGTAAGCTTATAAATGAATACAGACAGTTCTCTCATCTAACAAGGGCAGGGTTCAGCGATATGGCTCAGTTGCAAGCTATCAAACACAAGTCCCTTTTTCCTCGCGACATGACTTCTTCTACTAACTCCAAAAATAAATGTAAGAGACCAGCCCCACTACCTTCATCTCCCACATTTGCAAAAACACTAGGGACTAAACGAGACTTGAAAATAGTTTTCCGTGACTGCGAAGATCTTATCAAAGCTATAAATAATAGCCAAAATACCGGAATAGATAAAGTTTTCGACAAGCACATCGGTACTACCGAGTCAGCAATCTCGTATCAATGGAGTCAGCTGCGCCATCATCTTGGTCGTCTTCATTCACTCCGTCAAGCTTCCGAGGCCATAATCGATGCTTCCACAAAGTGGCCCTCGTTATTCAAAAACTTCACGGTCAACTACATTCCGTCATCTCGTCTCCAAAGGTTCACTCGCATCAACGGACTGCACGCTTCACAAACGGACATTATTCAGGGTGCTTTTCCAGGTCAAGACCTATCATATTACGAAGACGACATCGCGGAACTTCGCAGATACGGCCTGGATTTGTTCATCCAGGAGCAGGAGCTTAAGTTTCCATCGAAGACTCTGGTTCACTGCGAAGCGAATTTGCACAGTCATCTTATCACCGCTGGAAAAACCCGACCTTGCGACTTCTGGGACGATGTCATGTTTATTGCTACCAGCAAGCCTCCGTGTAGGCTCTGCTATTACTATTTTCAAGACGGTGACAATGACTTTCAAGTACAATCGTCCCATATGAACCTTTACCCTCGATGGCGGCTCCCCGACATTGTTGATTCCAACGATGAAGCAAGCATTCTGCATCGTGAGGAGTTGATAGAAGATATATTCGAGCATATGCAGGGCAGTATACTAAGTGTGTTACAAGAGAAATTCCCTCAGTGGAAACGAAATGATTCTCGTACAGACTCACGAGGCTGTACAGATATTCGAGAGGGTGCGGATAGCAGAACTCCAACTGGCGAACACTACATGCACCCCCCGGTCATGGATGATGACGGTTATGTGACGGACATTTGCACTGATACTTTTGGTCTTGCTCATTGAGCCCTTTTTATTACTAGTTATATTTCAATATGCGACTGGACCTCGAAGCTTTTGTCGCTACTGTTTTGTTCTGGCATCACTTTCCATACGAAATTATTGATACCAGTAGTTTGCACTCCCGCGGATCTGAGCTTGTGATAGCAACATCCTTCGGCAACTATAAATGACATCAAATATCAATAATTAAATCAGCTCATCGTAAAAACCCAGACCGGGCGCGGAAGCTTAGGCTTAGGCATAGGCATAGGCATAAAGGAGGCCCAGTTGCGTCTTTCGATACCAGATTATCTCAAATGATTTACGAAATCTCTTCGGACCATTGTGGAATCAATCTACCAACGCGCGCATATATTCCGAGATCAAGGGCGGTTTCATAGGCATACTTGTTTTTCATAAGGCCTCTCTTGAGTTAAGTAGTATTATAAGCCAGTATCCCAGAAATCGTGTTCACTAGAGCAAGATGGAAACTGAAGAGATTAAGTATAAAGGTAGGCTTAAGCTTTAATCTAGTGTAAAGCTTTATCTAATTATTATAGGCTTTTTCTACTTTACTCTCAGTAGGTTTTTAAAAGAAGCTCTTGCTACTACTGGTAAGTTTACTTACTAAAGTAAAATAGCCTAGGTTGCCAAGAGCTAGAAGCCTGGAGACGCTCTGACACTGGCTCACGTTGACCTAAGTTTCCGCGATCGAGGATCACGTTGCCTTGTACAACTGCGTCAAGGATCATTTCAGGCTCCAGTTGTGAGTTATTTATGGATTTATAAAAGGCTGAAGAGTGGCGCCTCATTATTAGAAGTATAGAGGTCACTGGGGGAGGAATGATACAGCTGTTATGGTTGAGTTGGCGCGGGCTTGTGGGTCCTTTGTATTTTGAGTGAGACTAAGTCTGCATCAAGTCAGTCTTGGCTATCCCACTCCCTCCTCAATGTTCTGATATGTCTTACCTGAATGTCAAGTTAGACTAGGAAAACGTGATTCAAGTGTGTTGAGAACCAAAAATAAGTGCACCAGCTGCTCGAAGAATTGAAACAACATGTGAGTCGGCACTTGGTTGGTGTCCGTCGTAGATGCGAGAGCCATACTCTGTAGGCATATCTAACGAGAGTGAGTTTATGTCACCAAATATCACATGCGAGGAATGACTTTCGTGGCCATGGTATCCTTGATTCCGACAGCGAGCCCATGTAAAGGACCTCTTTCCGCAATGGGAACATTGTCCAGAAGTCGAGCTTGGCTCAGTACGAGCTCGGGATCTTGTTCTCCGTTAGCCATTTGATTGAGATGCAGGTGGGTTTCCTCCATTTCGCTCAGGGACTTACTAAGATGCGCCCATGCTTTGATAGTGTGATCTCTCTCCTAGATACGACCTAGGAGCGATTGGGCATACGCCTCCACTGAGATGGTGTCTTTCTTGAGAAGCTCAAGCGCCTGCGTTGCAGTCCATTCATAAGATGGTGAGTTCATTGCTGGGACGAGATGTAAATAGTAAGTCGGATGAGGATATGTTAAGATGTAGATGAGATTTGTGCGAGATTTGAGAAGTTTTGTGTTTTGCTTTATGACGTTGGAGAGAAGAATGAGATGGACAAAGGCGCATCGTTTAAATAACCGGAACTGTGCGTTGAGTCAGCGATACGACTACCTCATTAACTGTCTTGCTTTCATGTAATCAGATAATACACGCGCGTTCGGTGCGGAACTGGACAAGTGATATCGTTTTGGGCCAGCCTTGGATCAGGGTGAGTATGGAACTCTGAATGTCATCCTACCAAGAAGCTCAAGGTTAGTGAACGTTGCGTAAGTAGGCACTGAAGTTCTGGGACACGTCGCAAAGTGTCAGAGGAGAGTAATGTCGTTTAAAATCACATCCAGAAGATAGGCTTTCGCTGGAGGGTAACAGTGATAAGCTTTAAGAAATAACCTGTCGGCTCGAAGATGTGTTTATTCAAGCAATAACTTTCAACAAAGCCATACTGTACTTTTTATGGTTCAGCCACAAAGTTAAATATCAGAACAGGTCTTAAGCCCTAGGGTATAATATTTAATCCTCTGAACGTCCTATCCCCATCTCTCCATATTGCCTTGATTCCAACCACTTCTCCAAGATGGTAAGAAACAGCCTTCGAACCAAGCATCAGCAGCGCTAACAATCAACTGAACAGAAGCTCCTCCTGGACACAATATCAGGCATCCTCTCACTGTCAAGCCTCGGCAAATCAAAAGGCTGGACCTGCGCACAAGCCAGCGGCGCAACGAACCAAGATCTCCAAAACGCCGTCGACAATTTCAGCGTCGTCTTCACCCCCAATGCCCTAGCCGTCCAACCGAAACACTGCTACTTGTCGATCTGTGGCCAACACTACTTCAGTTTGTGTAATTACGGAGTCACTGGTTCTACTGAACCTGTTGGGCAGAGAATATGGGCTAAGGAATGGGGTCTTCCGGGAGGGAACGGGACGCAGTGTCGTGGGAACTTTGGGGATACGGTTAATTATGATTGGTATCAGTTTGGGTTGGTGGATGAGCTGGAGGAGGTTTGGATGGATTCGGAGTATGTGCAGGTGAGGATGTGTAATGGGTCGATTGCGGATGGGGCTGGGTCGAGTGTAGCCTAATACGGTGGTATGAAGATTGAGGTGTTGGTGCTGTTGGGATGTTTTCTGAGTGGGAGGACATTTGCCGCGCATTTAATTGCGGGTGGATGTGACAGAGAGTCGTTCAGCCACGAGACATCAGTTTGTAATGCATGATACTGGATCACTTTGAACATGCATCAGGCTCAAAATCTCTCTGGTGGATTGATTGGGTTATGCCATGTAGATGCGGCCACTGTAAATCACTGTGTGCTGGTGCACAACACTGCTAGAATCACCGCGCAGCAAGGCAAGCTATCGTATGCAAGCGCCAGCTTATGATAAGATACAAAGAAAACGGCGCAGCTCTTCATGACCCACTCGCTCTTGTTGACTTTACGTTTCATCTATCTAGGCCTGGGCAAGAAAACATGAGACTTGGAAGAGGATGCCAAGTAAAGACTACCCTAGACTGGGACTAAATTACCCCCGTCTCTTTCTTACTTAGGATCAATGTCTCAAGCTTCCTTGCCTCCTTCTGTCCTGTAAGGGATGACGTGGTCAATCCCAGTCTTTCTTTCCCTTTCACACCCGAGATCAAGTGCAAGACCAGGCACCTTCACCATTCAGTTTGAAACCACCAATAGATTTCTTGTTCTTCTCCTTCTTCTTGTTCTTCTTCTTCTTCTTCTACACATTTCTTCTTCTTGCAACAGTCTTCTTCATCCCGTAACAGACTTCTTCATCTTCTTCTTACACACATTTCTTACACTCGCAGCAATGGCGGCGCAAGTCCAGCATGACCCAAATCTCACAGACGGCATCGAACTTCTTTTTGACGCGTATACCCAAGTTTTAGACAACAAGATGCGAGCGGTTGTTGTAGACGTGGTCTCTCCGTTCAAGGCCGAATCAGAAATGAGTGTTGGTTGTTGTCAGGGAGGACGAGACCGCAATGCAAGTCATTACAACGCCGTCACGGAGAAAGATGCTAACAGACTAATAGCAAATTAAACTGCATGATGTTCGACCATCAAGTCAGTCTTGGCTGGCCCATCCCCTCTCCAACGTTCCAATAAGTGCTTTTGTCTTCCATTTGATCACATCATCAACTTTCTCCAGATACCGTATGGTATGTGTCTGCACACAAGGATTTCTTATGCAGTATCCACCTGCAAGCAAACTCACATCAGCAACCATCTTCACGTTTGGACTGAGCATCAAACCTACAGAGCGAAAGCATGTGTGCGGGTAGGTAGAATGCGTTTGCCACATGAGAATTGGACAAGGCGAGACCCATCAGCATGCAGAGGTACGAGGATATGTTCACCTCAGATTCTTGTCTGCTGTAATTGTCTGTTGTCTGTTTGCTGTCGCACAAGCACAACACCGCCTTGGCTGCGTAGTAATGCTGCATCGCCACCACTCGAGCAAGTTAGCAAACCGTAAGGTCAAAGGGAACAGGTACTCACCAGGCACCGACGCAGCAAAGCAAATGACTGGAAACGGCCTGTCACTTGAAATGTCCGCTGCCTTGTGAAATATTGGCTTGAATGAAACCGGTCTTGCATCATACCATTCCTCGATCTCCCCCTCGGCTGCTCCCCACTCCCCAACCGGACTGTCCATTGGGAGAAATAGTCTCATGAGCTTGGCAAAGTTATAAACCGCCCTGTTCGCATACGCCGAATCATCAGATCTCCGAAACACCGTCGATCTCTCAAAATTCTCAAGACATATCTCCAGCGGTTCCCTGCGCACAACATACACATAAATAGCTTGACGCAGATGAACCCAACTCGCCGCTTCCGCTAATCCACCTTGCATAACAAACCTCGCGATGACTTCATGATTCAACAAGTTCTGCGTTCCACTGAGATGATGATAGTAAGAATCCGTCTCATTATCATTCTCCTCATACAAGCGCGCGATCACTACGGCAGTGAGGAGCGTTGAATCCCAGGTCTCAGGCGGTTGAGCGAAAGCTTCGATGAGGAGTTTTATGCACTTGTTGTGATAGAATGTGCTTTCGATGTCGGAGGAGGTGTTGGTGCAGCGGGAGTCGTAGCGGCTTGCGAGGGCGAGGAGACCGTTCATTATCATTGGTTGGTGGAGGGCGAGACGGGGGACTTCGAGGGCGAAATGGCGGGCGTCGTCGCATGCGTCCGACTTGGGCGGTTAGAGGTTGAGGTTACTGGAGATGGGGATTCTTACAAGAGGTGCGAGTTTGTGGATGTAGGTCATGAAGAGAAAGGCTTCTCGTTCTGTCAACTCAAAGGGATCCTGACTGTGAACTTGTAAGGTCAAGTCTTGGGTAGTGACATGTGGCGAAGACCCTTGCGGGTCGAGAATAAAGGGGATGGATGCTCGTGGGAGTGATGGAGTCTCTGCTTGATATGCTGGGGTCATGTTCTGATCAATTGGGGAGTCGGTGATGAGATTTGAGGGCGACTCCCAATAGCTGAACACCTCTTCCGCTTGGGACTGGATGGTGTCGTCTATCGATATTTCCATCATCCCTTCTGATATCGGCTGTGTCACTGACTCATTCGCCTCCGGTCTCGCGTCCGCTTCCTCGGGTACCTTGCCATCAATCCCTCGGGGTGTCGTGAAAGAAACTACCACCAGTCAACATGACTCTACACAAAAGATCTCATCGCTAGATACGTACTCTTTTGGGGAACCTTTGCCCACTTCCGCCCAGATTCCTTCTGTGTTTCTGAGTGAGTGTGTTTGAACCGAATGTCATTCTCAAAGCGACATTCCTGCCCCGACTCTAGACACGTGCCGCATTGAGAGGCTCCAGGCTGAGTGACGCATTTTCTGTGTCGGCGGCGACATGCGGTGCAGCATTTTACTCGCTTCATGATGCTGTGCAGCTGTTGCTGGGATATTGTAAGAGGTGGAATTGAATCTGGGGTTGATGACATGGGGAGGAGTTGATAGCGGGGAACCGCTAGCGGCATGCGCTAAAGCCGCTATAGAAATTTGAGTTCAGGCTACTGTGATTGGTGACTGTGGGGAGCTATAGGGTGGTCAGTTTCCCAGGAGCATTGTACGCAAATGAGTTGGGAGCATCACACATGCTGAGACTATGACTACAAACGGTTGCAGAGTGAGCTCGCCCAACGAGCAAGACCGCAAGTTTGGCAAATATTGAATCTTTACTTTATGGTTCTACAAAGCAGCTGTACCGTTGCGTGAGAGATCCTCCGTCTCGAGGCATCCGGTTTTATAGTGCTATTCCTCGCACCCATTACGCTTCTTCTCTGGGCGCCCACAAAAAACGAAAATTACGAACACTGTTGCATTAAAGAATTAGGTCAGGCGATGAGAATCACACAGTATTAACTTTTATGCTGAAACTATCAGCCCAGAAACTCCCGAATCCCAGATTGACAATATAGAACCCAGCCCTCCCGGCCTTGTGTCCACAGAGCCCTATTGTAGACGGCTCAATTCTCAATTGCCGCTTCTATTTTCGTGATGGAAACTATTTGGTTCCATAGTTCCACGCAAATCTGTACCAAAACTTATCCTCCCCGTTCTGGAGTTCCCCCTCAAATTCGCCTATCCCGCTCAATCCTCAAGCGAGGCCCATCATCCTTCAAGTTCGACAGAATCTCGGCGGCTTGTCTGAACTCCTGGCGTAGATGAAGATCCCCATCTGCACTGACTGCAACGTAGCCGGGCTTGAGAGGATTGCGCGAGTCCAAAATGACTCCGTCCTCTAGTTCGGGAGAGTTTCCTTCAATCATATCCAGAGTCAATTCGCCTTGCTCCGGGCTCCAGCGACGAGCAATAAGAGGCAGGGGCTTTAGGCAAACCTCCTTGAAATGTCCCGGATTCTGCAAGAGATAGGTGGCCAACGCGGAGTAGAAGTGGCCCTCTCGAGCTACCAAGGGATGCTCCTGTTCAGCCCAGGTCACTCGAGTCCGGGGGTACCGGTTGCTGTCTTGCCCAAGATATCGTTTGATCAACTCAAACGCGCAAATGACCCGATGTTCTCCTTGAATTTCGTCTGGAATTTCTCCCTCAGCGGCAAGGATATCAGCATACTTCGACACCATCCATGTTTCGTCCCAACCATCGAACGAGTTCTCCATATAGAGAACGTCCCAGTGGACTTCGCGCTCCTGTCCTAATCTCCAAAGGCGGCCGAACCCATGAAGCATGGTGGGGATGTTGTCGGGGTATTCCACGACGATTCCATGATGGCAGGCTCCTTGGAGGTTCATACCGAATCCACCAAGTTCAAAGGAGACGACCAGGGCGTCGAACTTTTCATCTGGGTCGTTGAACTTACGAACCATTTGAGCGCGCTCATGAGGCTTGTTTGAACTTCTGATGTTTAGAGTTGTCACACAAACGCTAGTGAGTAAGGCTGCCACGATCCTATAACAATGTTAGTCACAATGGCTTGATTTTCAGAGGTCTGATGAAACTCACAAGGAGGTCGAAGGATTATCAACAAAGACTAGAACGCGATGTCCATCTTCCTTTAATTCCAGAACACGTTTGACTGTCCAACAGAGCTTGGGACTTCGTGCACAGATTGTCTTCACGATGTCTTGACGATACTCAGGGAACTCGACATTTTGATCTTGATGCATCTCACTGAGATACCATAGGAGGCCGCCCACTCCATCTTTCGCTAGGATTTTGTCGATCTTCTCGGGGTCCTTAGTCTCGATGGTGGCTGTGTTTGCTTCGGGGAGGTTGAGCGACGTCAATCTGTCCAAACAAGGCTGGTTCTTCATCACTTTTTGACCAATTGGAGAATTGAGGGCGGATGGCGAGTATTTATTATCCTCTCCACTGGGTTTCTGCGTTAGGGGATAGGATTCGACGTTGGTAGTGGACAAAGCCAGCGTTCGGACGATGGCAGAATTTGGCCACATATGCTGTGCTTTGTCAAAGGTACCATGCCCAATGTCTTTACCCTTGTCCCGACTGTTATTAAACAGTTTTGGGTAATGCTTCTTTATGATTCTGTACAAATCGTTCTGATCTTCGTCGTTATAGGGTTGAACGTTGACAGTTCTGATGTGCATGCGAGGAATACCTTCGCTTGGTACCACGGTCGTTCCGTCAGGCATGGCCGTGTGTGACAACATTCCGCGGCGAAGACAGAACATTTCCAAAAGAGGCCGAATAGCCTCTCGTGCGACTTCAGGCTTCTTAGACTTCATGTCTTCACGGAACTCCTGAAAGAGGTCCGGGTTCATCAGGAACAAGGGACCCTTCTTTTCCTGGATATACGTGATGTACTCTTCCCTCATGCGGCGATCACGGAAAGTCGCCTTCCCAAGTGTTGAGCGTTCCGGTTGGATGATATGGTCTAAAGTGAGACCCTTGTACTCGTCACCGTTTTGGAGAGCTTGCCAAGCTTTCTTCCTGTAGTACAGCGGTGCGCGGAAACGACGATATCCGGGGCCGTAAACGAACGGCCACTGTCTTCTCCACAGCAAGGTGACATACCCCTACATGTCATCTTGGTGGTTTAGAAGTGGTGTCGCTGAAGCTATAAGGGTCGCCTCATGCTCCAACTCGGTGATCAACTGGTGTGTTTCGGTGCGAGGTCCCCGAATGGCGTATACATCATCACAGATGATCCAGTTGTAGCTTTGACCCTTGATAGAGAACTTGAGCTCTTCATTTTCAACGTTTGGGCGTTTCTTTCGCTTTGACTTGAGAAGTTGTTGCAATTGTGTCTGGTTGGCGGCTTTTTGCTTTTTCATTTCCTCCCGGTCAATCATGCGTTCCAAGGCCGTATTGTACGGAATGATGGCGATGTTGAGAAGGGTCTGTCACATGATCGTTAGTGAAAACGCATTAATCTGCAGATATTGTCACTCACATCGATGTCTCGGTGCGACGCGGCATTCTCATCTACCCAGGATTGCAGACCATCTTTTTCATTCATGGTATGCTCTTCCGCCGACTCATCAACAGCCTGGGCCTTTGTTCCATGGCAGATCTGGATTTCGAAGAATTTCGGAAACCAGCTTGACCATTCTCGAAATGTCTGGTAAGCGAGATTGTGGGGACAGAGGATGATGCTTGGCTTGAACCATCTCATATCATCTCGCGGTCTGAAGGTTCCCGCCTCAACCTCTGCCTTTACTCGGTGATAGTGCATAGCAAGCGCGAGGCCGATTTGAACAGTCTTTCCAGTTCCACACTCATCCGCCAGGAGTGCAGCACGGAGTGGCGAGTCCAGAGTGTTCGAGATCCAGTTGGCCCCTGTCACAACCGTTGTTAGTAATGAACCTCCAACCTCGGGATTAATGCCGCGTAAAACTTACCAGAAATCTGATGGGCTTTCACTTTCTGTCGGTCCGTCGTGACTTCCGGAATTGTCACACCATCTCTCCAATCAATACCATTCGTTTCAACTCTCATTGTGCGACAAATTGCTTCCAGATCCTGCTGGTATGGTTCCATTGTCTTCAGGAGTTGTGTATGGCTACCACTAGCAATCTGATCGCCAGCTCTGGCATTGGCATGAGTTGCTAGCCACACTTTGAGCTCTTGCATCGCAGCTTGGGGGATGGGTGGAAACCAAGAAGGAAGTCGAATGCTGGAAGGATGTTTTGGGACATTTTGAGAAGTAGGCGCAACGCTTGGGGCTCCTGGGGCTTCACTGGCGACAGAGACTCCGGTAGTCTCATTCTCATTGCCCAGCTGCTCGTTGTCGCTGCTAGGTTCTGCGGAATCGTGAGAAGTCTTGAGGCGCTTTGAAGGATCATCGTTTGTTGGTGATGCGCTGCGCTTCTTTCCAGTTGGGTCCTCAGATACGCCAGCTTTTTGGCTAGCATCCTCAGGAGTGAGGTCTGGATCAGATGTCGGCTCACTATGGTGTGAGGGAGGATCAGTATCCATGGCGGAAAAATTGTAGGCTTTCTGAAAAGATCCAGCCAAATGAACTGTGAAAGCCAGCTGAGAGAGCGACAGCGGTGACCCGCAAATTTAATACCGTTACCGAGATCGGTTGAAGACAGGGAAGCCAGGGCGCTTGTGGGGTAGAGATGAGAAGAGAAGAAGAGCAGGTTACAGTTGAGGGAGCTGCTTTATAGGCAGAAAGGGGTCACGTGATTGCAGGTAGTGAATGAAAAGGGCTCCAGTGACTGCACTGCACGCAGGTGGTGAAGTGGAAGGCAGCTATTATCGCGGGGTACCGCTAACGGAACTTCTTACTGCCGATAGACCGAAAGCCAGAGTCGTTGGAGATATAGAGACCTTCGAGGTTCAATCCTGAGGTTGATTCTCTCAAACGCTCATCCTACAATCAAGCTTGGACGAGGCTCAACAGAGTCAAAGCTGAGCTCAGAGGCTTCGATCATCGACAGAACCTTATGCAAGTGGAGAGATTCTATAGCTGTTCTTCCGTCTGCATTGCTATCGCGCTATGGCAAGAATCACTGGGCCCATTCCAAGCTGGAGGGACTCTGTGAGTGGAGGCACACTAGCCCTTGCCCAGTCTCTAGGCAACTCAGCACATTGAATGATGCATATTAATTACTGAGTCTGTTAGAGTGAATGTGCTGACCCTAAAAGGAACCAATCAGCTCTGCAGGGTCATAACTTTGACGCACTGCCATGCACCGACAGAAGCGCATAACAGCACCACTTTCAACTAGAGCATATTCTCGATCATCGAGAACACATAGATAACCTATATCAACTCCTGGTATTCACATAAATTCTCAAAAGGCACAACAACTTCGCTACAGGAATGATAAGACAAGGGTCAAGATAGGTCAAATTGGAATCACTCTGTCCATGACCGACAGCAATGGCTATTCTCGTGATTGCAGATTCATTCCACACTCTAGATCAACGCCCGTTCCCGATGATAGACGGAAACACAAGATCAATTGCGCATACCTGAGTTTGCTTCCGCGAAATTGAGGGCGAGGCTTGATAGAAAGCATATTTATGCCAACTTCCGACATCGACAGCACTACGGCCTACTTTCCGGAAAGACTCCTCGGTTGAAAATATTCCTCTGCAGTGTGGGTAATTGGAATCTCTCATTCACATGCCACAGACTTCGATGGACCAATCAATGATATCGTCCGGGGGGTGAGGTCGAAAACTCACTCTGTGGCCTGTGGTACAGTGGAGCTCTCAGAGGTAACAAAACAGACTTGCACGGCCACTGCAGGGCAGTGTCGTCCATGGAAGACGAAGGCCAGCTTCTCAGCAGATCTGACTCGGACTGATCCCTCGCAAGCCCCCTAATTCGAATTCGGTTATATCATGTCTGATCTCGGATGATACCAATGCAGACAAGGAACATTCGATCAACCCAAGAATCCTGACTCTCAATACATAATAACAGCCAATCTTTCTTCCAAGTGTGTCATAGATAGTTAGAAATGTATATGTTACAGCTCTTCATCGACGACCGGGAGCTTATGCCGATTTCGACCTTATCTATCTGGTCCAAAAAACATTGGAAACTACCAACAGGGACTGAGTGCCGTAGAGCCACGAGTCTGTATCCAACCAGTTGCTGCCACTGGCAAAATTATTTAAGCCCTGGATCGTGCCTGAGGCTGAAGGCCTTTGAGCTAAATGGAACACATCCCTTGAACTGTCAATTTCACTGAACAACGGCATTCAAAATCTTGAACAAGCCAATGTGGACAAAGAACAAACGCACACAAAGGTACCAGTGCCATTCAGCTTACAGCCAAATAACTCACTAGAAGATACAACTAACACCCGTGTCTGGTAGAGCTGAAGACGGCAACTTGTCTCTTTAATCCCACGTCCTGATCCTGACTAACCTCGATCCGACCCAACACATCTCAACTCACAAAGATAACCAAGACAAAAATCACCACAACTAAAGTACGCCAATTCCAGGCAATTCAAAATGCCTCGCACTTCTGAAGAACACCCAACCCTTTCACGAAATGACCCACAAGCGATGTCTTCCGATTTCCTCTACGAAGTCAATGAGCGCCTTATCGAATGGCTAAAGCAAGACGCAACAAACTATGACAAAGAACCGTCTGAATATGTAACGTTCTATGAAGAAGAAGAAGAACCGGAACATAAGTCATATAACCGTTTTGGACGAATGGCTCGTCGCCTGAAGAAGTGGTTCACGGACCATTACCATCACGAGGTCTAAAGGCTTCGAGACTTCACGGTGTGCAAAGCATGAGGCTATTTACTTATGGTTTCTCTTGGTTCTTGGAGTAAGTGAGAGCGAAGCATTTGAAGATGTCTTGCGCAAACTCAAGCACATTTCATATTGTCGAAACGAGTCTATTAGCGATGGCGTCGGTTTCTTCCCCCCGACTCAATTATGTCCTTTTCCTCTATTCTGATACCCTTCGTGCACGGCTGTGTTTCACAATTTTTCGGTGTTCTCTTTCTGTTCTACATGTGTGGTTTTGTGGTCTCTGAGTTACCATACTCTATGGTGTTTCTAGAGTACCGTGAGGTCCGGCGCAAAAAGGAAAGAAAATGGCATGTATTATGGCGCATGAAGATCAGTTAGATGAATTAATATTAATAAGAAGTCCTTTCATAAGCCGTCTTCAAGATCTATTTCATTGTGATTATTGTCCTTTCAACAACAGAGCGCTGGTATAGGGCTTAGCACCTCCGCAAGGTCCCTCGACGCTTCGGTTCTGCCCGATCACCCTGATACCAAGTTTCTGTACGTGCTGGAGCTGTAACTGTAGAGACACGGCGACCAAGCGCCGAGGAATCTGGTGTTGGATATGAGCCAGTTCCGCTTTCCGAAGGACCCCAAGAACCACTTGAAGACCTTACCGCAACTGAGTGGCTTCGACCAAACGCGGGAGGATAAGAATTATCCAATTGTGTGCTTGAGCTTTCCGGTAGGCTCAGGAGAGGCTGTGCTGTTGGTGGCCTGACACTCTGAGAGTGCTGATCTCTCCATGATGGTCGTCTTTGGGGAAGTGCCGACGACATGTCCAGCAAAGGAGGCGGTGTAACACCCGATTGAGCACAATACATAGAGTCGGCCCGGACAGAAGATACGCTCGGCGTTCTTCTTGGTCCATATCGACTTGAACAGCTCGCTGCTCTATGTATTTCGCCTGTTGTTCCTGGGCTGTCGTATGAAGGGCGGTGACCTCTGCTTTCGGACTCAGCCAGAGATCCCAAAAGTCCACTGGTGAATGGACAATTGTTTTGTTCAGTGACCCGTGATCTGGCTTCCATCTGCTGTTTGAGCAGATCATATCTTTCCCCAAGCAGCCCTGCAGGGCTGAATGGCTCAGAAGGTGAATGTCGGTCATTTTCGTTATAGGGATTTTGCGAAGAAGGATTAGGTCTTTGGAGCGAAGAGGATCGACCATACGTGTCATGGCGGTTGCTTTCCATCTTGACGAATTTGGGATGAAGCAATCAATGTAGAAATTGTCATAGGGTTTGCAATTGAGGTTTTGATGGAAACTTTTGATCAGTCTCCAGCAGGGCAGGAAATCGACATAATATGTTACCGGTCCAAAGACCGATGATCTTAGAAATCTACGATCTGAGAATCTTGATACTGCATTCTCACCGACCATCCATTCCTTCACGGCGCATGTAGCATAGCCACTATGAAAGACATGCCAAAGTAAGCCAAAATCCCCAAACCTCCCTCAGGCTGGTTTAATAAATGTGATAAGACACATCGCGTGAGTCCAGTCATCCAATCAGAAGCTGTGACAGTTGACTGCAACCCTGCCCCTTCGGTCAAAATTGACCGCGTCCACCATCAAAATGTCAGCACAGCCCCGATCTTCAACGAGGCTGCGCCACCACGTTCCATTGAAGGACCATGAATGTAATCGTCATGCAACTGATTTGGATGCTCCGAATGGCCTCGCGGGATTCCGTGACTGGGTTACTGGAGCAGTTGGTAGGTTGTGGTTTTATCATGGACTAAGATAGATATCGCTTCGCTTCTAATAGTCTGCCAAATTAAGGTGTCTGCAGAGTGGCAGTGCAAAACGACCCAAACACCAAACACTAAAGACAATATACCTTAAGATTAATGATTATTCCGACTTTCCTCCCTTCGATACTTGCAATTCCACTGGCATCTGATTTTGACCCTCTTCGTTCGCCGCAGGCCCTTGCGCAGCAACTATCCTCTTCCTCTTCCTTCTCCGATGTATACAACATCCAATACAAGCGATAATTCCCAGCCCAGCCACAATCCCAAACGCAATTCCTACCCAGACAAGCTTCTCTAATCCCACCAAACCAGAATCGTTTGGTGACGGGGGAGCTGGAGTAACTGTTTCTGCAGGCCGTGGCCAAGGTCCACCTGTATACGGATCATCACAGTCAGGAACACAAGTGGTTCCGCCTGAGTTGATCTGATAGGATACGGTGACTGCTGATGCGAGGAGGAGGTCTTTCTCGGGTTCGAACTTTATCGTTGTTGAGACTCGGATATCTGTTTGTAAAGAGCTTGCGGAGGAGAGGTCGAACGCTGTTAGAGTCAAGGGTGAAGTGCCTGATGGTTTGAGATTGGATGCAACGCAGAAATTATCGTATGGCGTTCCTGAACCGCCGTCTTTGGCTGTCAGAGTCGGGTTTCTCCATTCAAAGTCGTATGCTCTGTGATTTTAGTCAGTTCACTACATGAATTAATCGTAAGGGTTGACTAACTCCAAGCAACACAATACCTGCCGTGATGTGGTGGCATAACGTGTGTAGTCTACAGTATGGGCAGGGGTATATCCAACAGGACACTCCGTCGCTGGGTGCCTCCAGCCTGGACCACAAAAGCCATTCAATCCAAGGCCAAGAGCTCCGGTCGTGCGAGGGTAATCTGTGTAGCCCAGCCAGAGGTAGTTACACGTCCGCGTTGTTCGGTAGCGCCGCTCCTCCGTGCCACTATAGCACTCCGTTTCCAAGTTCCATATGCTCTTCGTGTCAAGACATTCTGGCGCGGGTGTGAAACGCGGTAAAGTCCATGTCGGGTTTGGAGTAGTCGGGAAAGTCGTTGTGAAGGTCTCAGTCATTTTCGTATAAAGCATGTCTATTTGAGATGCAAGTTGCAAGAAAAGAATGTCGGACTTTGGGCTTGTTTTATGCCCATGGTTTGAGAATCAGCCTAAGTGTAGGCAGACAGGGCTGCAGGGATGTCACGCCACTATCCTGCATGAAGGATTCAAGGCTGTGCTTCATTATCGCACAGGAATTGGTCGCTTGGCACGCGAGTGGATACTGTAAATACGAAAACAAGAGATTTGGTCAATGTTAAAGGGACGGAGCTGCCTAACTAAGTTCAAATCCGTCGTATCCCTTCTCAGCAGCGTCATCGAGTAACTCTCTATACAGCGGAATCCCACCAGGAAAATTCAGCGCCTCCCTCGGCTTCCCATCGATATTGGCGCCCATGTAATAGGAATTGGCCATGGGAAAGAGCGTATTCGCCGTCATGTCGTTCACCAGCTCTCTATACTTATCCTGTCCCTCCACAGTCGCACGCATGCGCTGCTTTCCCGACTCCCTTGCACTAACTATAGCTCCAACGATCCAATCGCCTTGGATCTCAACACATGTTGGGCCGTTGGATAAAGCTGTTGGTCCTTGGGGCCCATACATGAAGAACATGTTTGGAAAGTCGGCTGTCATCAGGCCGAGGTTTGTCCACGTTCCATTTGACCACTTCTGTGAAAGTGTCTCTCCTGCGCTGTTGGTGATGTTTATGGCTTTGAGGCCGCCTGTGATGGCGTCGAAGCCAGTGGCGAGAACGAGGGCATCGATCTCGTGGATCCCGCCGTCTGCTGTGACGAGACCGTTGGGGAGGACTTTTGTCACTGGGGTCTTGTTCACGTCGACGATGCTGACGTTTTCTTGATCGCAGACCTGGTAAAAGTTGCGAAAGAGCGCTGGGCGCTTAGTGCCGAAAGGATGAGGCGCTTTTGACGGTGCTAGCACTTCTCTCTTGACAGGATCTCTAATCATACTGCGGATCTTGCTCGACCAGAAGCTGTAGGCCTCGCGATTGGCTTCAAGATTCGTCAGAAGATCTCCGTACGCACCAGTCCAGAAGTGAAACCCGCCCTTGTCCCATTTATCTTGGAAAAATGCTCTCCTCTCTTCCGCATTGTGATCGAATGTACGCAGGTCAGATGGGCTAAAGTCATAACCCCCTTTGCTGAGAAGCCTCGACTCATACTTTTCGGGATACGAGTGCTTTTCGGCATCTTGTTCCTCTTTGGCGAGCTTGGCCTGATTCAGCGGCAGAGCCAGATTTGGAGTGCGCTGGAAGAGAACCAGGGACTTGGCCTGGGGACCAACCTCCTGCACAATCTGAACACCTGTGCTTCCTGTACCAACGACTGCTACACGCTTATCCCGCAGGTCCACGCCATCGCGTGGCCAGAAGCTCGAGTGGTGAATGACGCCCTGGAAGTCTTCCAAGCCAGGCCAGTCGGGGAATGATCGCTTGGCGGCGAAGCCCACGGCCGGGACAAACCAGTTAGCATGGATTTCGATGTCCTTGTCTGTCTTGATTGCCCACGTACTCGTGGCATCATCAAAGGAAGCGTCTGTGACCTTTGTGTTGTAGATGACGTCCTTGCTGAGATCAAGCACCTTATCGACATGTTCAAAGTACTTCTGAAGCTCGGTTGCAGTTGGGAGCTTCTCAGTCCAGTTCCAAGTCCTCCATACCTCCTCCATTGAGTACTCGTAAAGAGGAACTGGGGTATCGACTCTTGCACCTGGGTAACAGTTCCACTGCCAGACACCTCCGAGACCCGAGGCAGCTTCTATGATGACAGCACTAACGTTTTGTTTGCGGAGCTTGTGTAGGAGATAGCAGCCTGAGAAGCCACCTCCAATGATTGCAACATCGACTTTGCGACATTGGGGCTTGCTAGTGCCAGTGCTAGTGGCATTGCCGTTGACAGCGTGGTTGGAGACTGTGTCCCCAATGTCCCGGGCAAAGCCTGAGCTCACAGTTGCAGAAGGCATAACTAGGAAGTGTGAGATCAATTGAGTGATAGAGATAGATAGATGGTCGTCTTTAGGGTTTCAATCGTTGTCAAAGCAGGGCAATTAGCGATTTACAGCCATTTAATACTACGCCTTTTTTCTTATCCATTAACAGCACAGGTTCACCAAACCGTATTGGGATAAATACATGAGTACTCTTCCGCAATCATCATACGTATGTTCCGATTAGATATACGACGGAACAAATTCGCTCAATCTAGAGATCTGTTTATCCGTTTTATGGGTGAATGGATGTATCACAATGATACAAACTTTTGTTACGTGATACATGCAACTCGAAGCTGTCTATGCCGTCGTGGAGCTGATGATATCGGCCATTCCCGATGCAACGGCTCTTGCTCCGCACAGTATCCAAGTTACAATTAGTTAGCTTATCAGTATTGTTGATGCGCTTGTATTACTAGGCGCAAATGTACTTCTTATGCAACTGTAACCGTTCTGGCCACGCTCCCCCCGCGCCCTCCAACTCCCCAAGAAACGCATGCATCATAGCGACATTCTTCCATCCAAAGGTAGTAGTATGTCTATGTAGCCTATCTTTGAAGAAATTACGCAGCGGTGCGTTTGGAGACGCTGCCGAGGACATGAAGTACACCCAGGTGAGATAGTGGTCAAATACCGTTATGTCGCTTGTTGCTTCGATCTTTGACTTGAAGTCCTCCATGACAAGACTGACATTGAAACTTGGGCTGTTATGCTTTTGGCCATGCCAGACTGTCAGGATCGTTTTGAAACATTCCGCTAAAAAGGGCGGATTGTGCTTGTCGCGTGCGCATGACGCGGCGAATTCTTCGACAAAGCTGAAGGCTGCTCTCAATTGATCTGTGGCTGTGTCATCATCATCTGTGTGAGGAAGAGAGAATATCGTCAAGCTGCGTTCAAGTTAGCATCGCTGCTTTAAAGCAACAAGATCACGGAACAGACACATACAAGCCAAACTGCTCCGCCAGATACCTCTGAAGCTTCTCACCGCCACCCAGGCTCGAAAAGTCTACAAACTTGCGCATGTTACCGATGATGCGGGCAAGCGTGACGAAAGTATCCTGCGCCGCTATCATCTCGTCATACATGAGTATGAGCAGTGTCGCAGCAGCAAACAGCTGATCCGACGACGAAGCCGACTGTGTGCACACGCTGCGGGCGCCAGTTATGAGACCCCTGATTGCGGAGGCCTTATAGTGTTCGGCCTTTGAGGTGAACTGGGGATTGCCGTAGTATGCGAGGCGATGATACGCAGCTGCGGCGACGGCATCGAAGACGAGTGGAGATGACATTGCGAGGGGGAGGAGATGCATCTTGCATTCGTTATCGGCTTGGAGGACTGGACACATCCACGGCGAGATTTGCTCAGCGACTAGTAGGCAATCGCACATTAGTCACTGTTCATTGGGCGTTCAACATAAGCTCACAGAAGTTGGTTACCCAGTGCTCGGGCTGGCAGAGTGGCTGTTCGGGATACGGGCTAGGCGGAGCGGGAGAACTGCCATCATTTCCGCGAGTCAGTTGACTCTGGTCATAGGCAATCAGTAAAACTCCCGATACAACAAGGAATGCGGTTCCTCACCTCGGTGCTCGTGACGGTGAGCCGGCTCGTTCGTCGGGGCCGATCAGTCCGCCGTTGCCTATTGATCGGCTCGGCCATCCACCGAAACGTCCCATCAAGGCCATAGCATTCAAGGTTATCTCTGACGCATTTCCGGCAGTGCGGTAGTGTTCTATCACAGTTGATACGACGGCGTGAACAATTGCGACAGCCTGTCAGATTGGTGAGCTGAGCACTTAACTCGATGCGTGGGGGGGATTGTGAACGGACCTTTTACTTTGGTCGGCATGATTAGTATGAGTACTCTGCGTTTTCTTCAACCTTGGATAAAATGTCGAGCGCCGCGATATAAGAGTGGACCAGGGTTGATTGTCCATGGATCAGGTGAGAGGGCCAGACTCACCTTTTTATCTTGATTGGGGTAAGCTACAGTATCTCGGGCTTATCATGCACCTCCACTTTCCCCGCAACTCTGGATGCTACCACACAACGCACTAAGTTTAGTTTAGTGACCACCAGGGACTAGGCTGCCTTGGGAGGCCAAGGTGTTGGGGTTGCTACTGAGTCGTGGGGTTGCATGGAAGTACTTATTGTATGTATGCTTGTTAGTAACCCTTCTACCTGTCTCGATCCAATGCCCATCCCTTCTTTCCCTTATCCCTTCATCTCAACTCAGCATGTCTCAGCCTGTCAAAGGCAAAACTGCCATCGTCACTGGCGCTGGCAGCGGCATCAACCTAGCATTTGCCTCTTCTTTGCTTGCAAAAGGGTGTAATGTTGTTTTGGCCGATCTTGCCCTGAGGCCAGAGGCTCAGAAAGTGCTTCAAGAGCATCAAAAGGATACCAGGCCAGACTCCCATGGCATCGCCGTCTTCCAGGAGACAGACGTTCGAGACTGGCTCCAACTTGAGCGCATGTTCACAACAGCCAAGCAGCATTTCGGTCGCATTGACATAGTCTGTCCTGGCGCTGGCGTCTATGAACCTGTAAGCTTTTGCCCCCATATGATCAGGACTGACAATTCGTTGTTCTGACACTCTTCTCAAGCCTTTCAGCAACTTCTGGCATCCTCCTGGGACTTCAGCCAGCCGAGATACCATCAATGGCGGGCGATATGCCCTCTTTGACATCAATCTGGTCCATCCCATTCGCTCTTCTCAACTCGCCATATCTCACTTTCTCGGCGCCAAAGACAGGGAAAACAAGACCATTATACTCATCTCAAGCACGAGCGCACAGGACACCAGTATCGCGACACCCCTCTACGATGCCTCGAAGCACGCCATCAGTGGTTTTGTTCGCTCCCTGAGCAACCTCAGCTCAGCCAATATCCGTATTGCTGCTGTCGCGCCTGGCATCATCAAGACTCCTCTCTACACCGATAACCCCGAGAAGATGGCCATGGTTGACGGTTTGCAGGATGTCTGGGTTGAGCCTGAGGAAGTAGCTGAAGTCATGGTCGCTTTGATTGAAAGGGACACGATGAGCGAGACGATTGGAGAGTACCCTGAGAACGGAGATATTCAGATCAATGGTGGTACTATACTCGAGGTCACCAAGGGTCGGGCCAGACCTGTACATCCTTATCATGACCCAGGCCCGTCTGGACCAGGTGCTTTGGCTTCTAACATGGCTGCAGCTGAAAATGCTGTGATGGAAATGTTGAAGCCCGGATGGGGTGTGCCAGAGACCAGCAATGCTAAGTAGTATGAGGTAGATGACAATTGAGCCTTCTGTTCTGTAATGTTACTTGCGAATGGGCATAATGTGATTTTACTATCTGGGTGAACCGGTTTTAGCAGGAATGACTTGAGTCACCAAAATTTGCATCCTCCGTGACCTCCCAAGATAAGTCAGCTCTTGTTCTTTGACACAAATCGTATGAGGGCTTCGCAGGAGTCCAACTTCTCTCGTGCCAGATTGTGAATGGGATATAAATTGCAACGAGGACGAGGTAAGGCACGCGTTAAGCTCGACTAATCTCCAGAGTCAACTCTAATTCAGAATTCAATATGCTGGTCTTAATATGGTCTGTAGGTTCTGTGTCAAGACTCTTAAGGACACTAGCAAAATTGTTAATTTGAGTCTATCCATAAATCTACTGGATGGAAGCAGTGCATCTGCTCAAACAGACTAGCCACAATCAAGATTTCTTGATAGTTTCCATCTCTCCTTCATGACCCGAAGTTTCAACTACAACACCAGGCAGGTAGTCCTCCTCCATACTGGCCGCAGGACCTTTGTAGTGTTTCCTTCCATAGATAATGTACCATACAACACTCACAGATCCAAAGCCCATAAACACAACGCTGGAGTAGTTCATCGAACTGGCTGTTACAGGTAACGTGACGGGCATGCAGAATAGAATGATGGAGAAGAATATCCACGAAACCGAGATGCCGTTGACGAGGAAGCCCCAAGAGTGTAAAGAAAATGCGGATCCGTGAACTGGCTTCCGGGATCGGATGAGGGATGCAAGGATGGGTGTAGCGTACGATGTCGAGAGGCAGATGGTAGCAGTTCCAGTGAAAGAGTTGAAGGCAGATGACGATCCAAAGTAGATGAGTCCGAGAAGCATGCTCACAACAACATTGAGAAGCATGGCCATCAGCGGCATCTCAAGCTTCTTGTTCATGCGCGACCAGATAAGATGACCTGGGATAGCCCCATCTCTAGCAAAAGCGTATGTGTAACGGCTGGCAGCTGTGAAAGCCCCAATACTGGCAAATAAGAAAATTCCAATGATGAAAACAAGCAGTATAACAGCGGCAGCGTTCGATCCCGTGACCATCTTGAACATGGCGCCAATCGGCTGGTTGCTCGTGACGGCCAGAAGAGCAGCCACGTCGGGAAGAGTAAACAGGACGGGGATGAGAAACGCCAGGCCTACGAAGCCGGATACGACCACGGAGATGACCATGGCACGAGGGACTTCGAGATGTGGGTTCTGGACCTCTTCGCAGAGAGATGCGACGAGTCCATATCCGAGCATAACGTAACCACCTTGAAGTAGGCCAACAAAGAATGACCAGCCCGTCGGCCAACCGCTCGCCGAAGCGTCATAGTGTGTGAAGACAAAGCTAGCAGATCTTCTTGCTTTCGCCATGACCAGGAGAACAATCATGAAGACACCAACCGAAACAGCAGTCCATACCATAGCGCCAACATTTATAGCGCTAAGATACCTTGTCCCAAACACATTAACCGCTGCTGCAAGGAGTGTGAACGCCCAGAAAGCAAGCACAGTCTGCCAAGGCGTAGCCACGTATTCTTCATAGAACAGAGACGCTACCGAGAGAACAATCTGAGCGCCCGAGAAGTTGATGCTCGTCGTGACCAGAAAGTTCCCCACGAGGTTCAACCACCCCGTGATCCAGGACGCTATCGGTGCGTATTTCCTGGTCGACACCATCGCGGACCAGAAGTAGGGTCCTCCGGCGGTAGGATATACAGCGCAGATCTCTGCGAGGGAGGCAGCGATGCAGACGGAGCATAGTGTTACAAAGACCCATCCCCAGAGAACAGTGACGGACTGGCCGTTGACGAGGGTGATGTAAAGGGTTGTTGAGAGGCCAAAGGGAACACCCATGATAGCCACAGATCTATGTAGTCTCTCGTTAGATATTGCAGCTAATCAGGGAGTGTTTTTCCGACTTACAGTCCCAGAATAGTCCATATAGACAGAGTTCTCTTGAGTTCGTTCTTGTACCCAAGGTTTGCCAGGGCTTGATCAGCACTGGCTGCCTGACTGGCAGAGCCGGATTTCTCCAGAGTTGACATGATTATCTGAAAGTTATTGTAAAAAGGTGTTGCAAGGAGACATGGAGGGCTCTATGGGAGGATGTAATCATCGAGGATATTATACTGGTATCTTGTTCCGTTCTTCCGGCCCTTCATTCTTATCTCAATCATTGAGCTATCTTCAGATTCATCTGCTCGCGAGTTCGGCAAATGAGGCGTTCCATTACGGAATACATGATTAGACTGACACGACTCCTGATAAGCCTCTCATACTCACCATTTTATCCTAATCGGGTAAAGCTCTGGGGTCTAGAACTAACCCACCTTTCCCACCGCCCTCAAACCTAATACTTATCATGTGCCACGATCCCAACTTCAATTACAACTGGCCGATCTTTGATAGGGTATCAAGTTCTTAAGCCTCTTTATCTGTTGCGTAATAATGTCGTTGATTGCAGGATTTTTGCTACGGCGATCGTCGTTGTAATGGACCTGTGCCCCGCAACAAGCTAGACCACTTGGATATCCGCCCCGTCGGGGTCAGGAAGAGCAAGGGGTGGATGGTGACTAGATCTAATGTCCCACTGTACTCGGGATATCCGATGGTTCTTCCTCTGGACCCTTTCGTGCTGTACCCCGGATTTACTCCAGATTCCACCATCTCGCTTGACAAACTTTCCTGGTATGTTCGCCGATCTGCTACTCAATACGGGCTTGAACCCCGTTGACTTACCAGTCTGGGCACCTGGCCGCCTGAGATTGATGTAGACGACAACTGCTCCCTTCTGTTTCGTCCGCTTCACTCTGACATCCATTGCTTGTTGGACTTCACATTTGATCCTGTTCACTTGGATTCCTCCTATTCACAACTTCACTTGACCCAAGCCCAATCGCCATGTCTTTTCAAACCCCCAGACGCCAGAAACGTTCATGTCTCCAGTGTCAAAAGGCAAAGAAGGCTTGTGATGGATATGCTCTCAACAGAGACCCGGGTCCCAGCCCCAGTTCGCCAACTTCATCTAACAGCTCTGGTACGAAATCACTCCTTACGTTTCCCCGTCAACTCGACTTACCATGACAATAGATCAAAGTCCTATTTCAAGCATTCTTCCTTGCTCATATTGTCAGAAGACATTGAAGACATGCTCCTTCAACTCGATATGGGGTCTGGCTCGTGCACATGTAGACCAAGGCTCATATGATCCCAGTGTTCCTAGGGCTCTCAACAACCGAGTCTCCGATCGAACATTGTCTGCAAGTTCCCTGTCCCCTATCAAAACAGAAGCCGCCACAGCAACTTCTGTCAAGTCTACATCACAATCGGACGCAGAGCCTAGCCAGAATCACCAGAAAAGGGCCTCTCTTGAACAAAAAATATCGACAGTCCTTTCGCCCTTCACTGCCAGTGTCTTAATGACCACAGCTTTCAATAACCAGCTTATTACACGAAGTCTACTTCACATTTATCACAATGTTCTTGAGAATAACCTGTCCTGTTGGATATCCGAAGCAACCTGCCCCTACTCCATGTCATCCTCATCCCAAGAAAGCATTGCACCAACACATGACGATGCGGCCTACTCCATTCGTACCTTTGGACCGACCAACCCGTTTTATCAGTACATCATCTATTTGGACCGTGTCACGCAAGAACTTTGCAATCCATTATCTCACACAGAGGATATGGCGGTTTCCCGGACACTGCATCTTTGCATACTAGCCTTTGCGGCTCAATGGACTCGGAAACAGACCAAGAGGAGGACAGTATCGTCCACGAGTATTAGGCACCTACAACACTCGGATACATCAGCTACTATGCCAATGGACTGTAGTCTGCAATTACAACTTTGGAAGCAAGCAAGAACAGCCCTTCGACAAAACACAGAGATTGAATGTTTTAGGATTGTTTATGCTGAATTCGTCTTGGGCATCACCGAAAGACCAGAACAAAGATATAATCAGGACTGCAATAGCCAAAGGGATGATACCTGTCTACCAAGAGATCAACATTCGGTTGCTCATTCCATCGGACACATCATGTCACATGAGCTTCCTTCTATGCATCTGGAACAAGCTACGAGGAAAGTTTCTGCATTGAAATACCGCTTTGATATGGAGGAACTCAGGTTGAAGAGCCGACCTCGAGACATCTATGCTGTGCAACGACGTCGGGCCGTTGGTTTCATATACTGGCTCCTTGTAATGTTCGACACTATCCTCTCACCACTGAGCAAGCGCCCAGTTGTTATATCAGATGATCACTGCATGCCAGATTCAACAGTAAACACTGAAGATAAACCATGCCGATGGAAACTTGATATGTTCCTGAGGGACGACTCCGAAATGCCACAATCTCTACGCTGGCCCTGCTCAGAGGAAGTTGCCTCAAGAGCGATGATCAAAGCGGCGCCTATTAAGGTTTTACTTTATCGCCAACTATCCTATATCCAGAGCGCTTTGCAGAAGCAATCGAGCATTCAGAATATCATCGACGCCACAAAAGGAGCAACTACTGTCTGTCGATACTGGGACATGACGTACGCCTCATTCTTCCAAGGCCTGTTACGAGGCTATGATAGCGCTTCGCCAAAGCTTAAAAGCTGGGTTGTGTGTATCTTCACAGCCTGGAATCTCGGTACGCTTGTTCTCGCGGACTTGTCAGAACTAGTGCACGAGAAGGCAACTATTGGTGGCAACATCAGTCATGCACCAAACAGCTATGTGGATATGAGGCGGAGCAGTGCTATTAATCTCGCTGAACTCGCCGGCACTGTCGTTCCGCATGAGACGGGCCACTTCGACCAGCTTCCAGAAGGACATACCACGGTTCAAGAGAGTCCGCTGTTGGCAGACCCTTGCACGTCAATTCTGGTAGAAGCATTTACTAGATCCTCCCTCTACCACCTGTCAACAATTCATGAGCTTAAAAGACACGAGCGGTTCAATGTTGAAATGGAGGGTTATCGACAGAGTTTACAGTGGTTTAAAAGTTGTGTCAGAGCATTGACGTGTGTTTCAAAGAGATCGAAACTTGCAGGATCTATTGCAGAAAGTTTGATAGCAGCAGTCCGGGATTTATAGGGTATACAAGTATTCAAGTAGCTTGTAGGCCAATATCAATAAATCATGGTTGAAACGCTCACATACGACTGATCTCCAAGGTGCTTCTATGTTTCTCGAATAGACTGGACGACTGTGGCTAAGATATTGTAATCACCAGCGGTCAACTAAATTCAAGAGGATATGGGGTTAGGGGAAACAGGTCTTTACTATCTTCTCTATCAAAGCTACATTTTCTCACGCTTGATGTCCTGGAAGAGTCCACCTCAAAATCCAATCATACACGCCTGTTCCTGAGTCGTCTTTCTCCGTGCAATTCTGCTTCGGCAACTTGCATTCAATGGCCTTCGTCTTATCGTCTCATCTACTCCACGGGTTCCATTTGTAGAGAGTAGTAACCTTCAGCTAGGTTCGATTCATTCTCTTCCTCGACGCTTACCGCGCCGCGAACGCGAGAAAGCATGCCACGCACCATCTTCCAGGTGGTGCAAATCTGTTCAATATATGCGGGATCCCCAATCTCCGCCTCACGCACCTCCATCCAATGATGGTGAGGTCGCTTGGTTTCCTCGAGATCCTTTTCGGACCGGATCACCCACACGCGCGCAACGAAGCCGGGGTGGCATGTATAGTAACCGCGTTCTTCGATGGAGTAGTATTCTCTAATTAGAGGCTCAACCTCCCACCAAGAGAGCGGGCTGAACTCAACTTTGTTCTCCGCGACCCAAAGCCGGAAGCCGGCCCACTGTCCCCCAAGGGACACGTTGCCACGGCTGTACCCGTAAAAGCCGATGTTTGGTGGGGAGAAGCGCGCGTCTCCGGGTGAGAATGGTGAGACATCCTCTGGATGGCTGAGGTAATCCCAGCCATTCACAAATCTCCATGGAGTTCTGGAGTCTGCCCGGATTCCACGGTTGATAAAGTGGTCTTGGGCGGCCACTGAGTGTTCGCCGGCGCGTGCTATGCCCCAATCGTTGCCGTGAAACCGGGGTCCAACTACGTCAGGTCCAAACATTTGGAACCCTTCGATGTTCCATTCTCGGCCAACGTTCTCGATGATCAGAGAGAGTTTCTTGATTTTTGGTAGGCGGGAGAAAATTGGAATATCGTTCTCCATCGACATCTCAAAGTATGTCTCTGGCGGAGCGTCAGACGGCCCACCCTGGTTTGACCCATGGCCGGAACCGTCGCTCTGGCCGTCAGTTTCCGGAGCTAATTCCGTCAGCAAATGATATCCTATGTCAAAACTTTGGGTGATACTTACGAGCTTCTCCTCGGCGGAGCGAGACAGCGCGAGATACACTCAGCACATTCTCGACGGGCAAGGCATGACGATGGTAACCTTGGGTAGCTCGTGGATCCCAGGACATAGAAGGCCGAAGTGCAGGCAGTCGCATGTCGACAACCTGGAGAGTATCGTGAAGGGGGTCGATACGGAAGGGCACGCCACGGATGCTAGACATGACGACACCCCCATCGCAGCCCACAGCCTTCAAGCAGCGCACTTGATCTGCGAGCGAAGCGATGTCGTTGTTTGTCTCTTGAAGTGCCTTAAAGGTTCGTTCCTCGTAGTTGTCATGGACCCATGCGATACTGCTATATGAGTACCGAAATGGTACGGTGACTGAGGGGAGCGCGTGGAGCACAATTTTTTTGCGCATCTCCGTAGGGAGATCGGCGAACGGGAAGGCAGGCATTCTGTTATTTAATGGTCAGTACAGACGTTCGAAATGCAGAGTGGGGGACTTGTCCTTACGTCGACGTAGATGACTGAAATTGACCTGAGTGATGGGCGGTGGTGTTAATCTCGAGAATACGTGTCTTGATAGAATTTCCGGGGCTCTGAAAGGAAAGAAGGTATGGTGAGTGGTGAAATAGTAGTTGGTAGTGTGAGGTAGATGGGGAGGGAAGAGGTTGATAGAGTTGAGAGATGAAGTTGTAAGATGAGAGATGGGGGGAAGATCGAGGTAGGAAAAGGTTTGAGGTAAGCAGTTGTTGTGGAGATTAATCATTCACCGTCACTGCCACTGGCACAATAGAAGGGCAAGATAGAGGCCACTCGATCGCCAGTGTCAGCCTCAAATCAACAAGCCAAAGGTCAGGTTTGTGTTTAACCAGTGAACAACGTGCTTCGTGAATGCGACCGGGACTTCTGTTCCACTGCTCAAGTTGAGAAGAGAAGAGCATTGCTCAAGTATCCATAACGCCGGTCGACGGTCGCGACGCGACTTCCAGTGTAGAAGTAGGTCGCTGGGCTGTTCCCAGGGCTGACTGGCGGGCTTAACGCGTAACTTCGCGGCGGTTGCAGTGGACGCGTTGCTAGATGGTACATTTCGACAGTCAGCTTGCACCACAGCAACTCGTCTGCAGTGGCAGGTACCATGTTCAGCCCGGTCTCCATCCCCGTCTCAGTGCTCGGTGTTGGTTTCTTGTCTCGTTGAGATTTAGCCATCAATCTATTCCAATATCTAGCCATTCACTCTGCTCTGCCAGCCCCGACCAGCTCGAAAGACCTATCATCCCGTCCATTATATTACTTGGATCCTCTTATTCTCAGTCCCTAGTTGCGCAATAAGGACCTTGGGATTAACATTACCCTTAGTTCTATTGTATCGAGGCTCACAATTCTCCCATCCTCAAGTCTGTGCCTCCCAACCCTTCGCTTGCCTCTTTCTCTCCAGACAAGGGGCATCTTTCAGACAACCCTGCAACGAGTGACACAATGGCTGACGTTATATACAGATATGACAATCTGTTAACCTCGGACTCATCTGTATATGCTCAGACACAAATCCTGATCCCTACAACTCTTGGGATGCGATGCCCAGTCGATCCCAAGCCGTCATATCCAAGACCATTCAACCGTCTTCCAGTGAAGAAGCCCAGACAAGGCTGAATTTTCCCGACAATTCCAGCGGCAACTCACCGGATTCTTCACGACGGGCTTCTTCTCGGGCCTCCCGTAAACACCGAAAGTGGAATTGGCCCGAGTAGTGATGGAGTCTACGAACCTGGTGTCGATACTCAAGGGAATCATGTTAACACTGCACTCTGAAACCCGTCATCCAAACTTCGATTTCATATGTTACAGCTCATGGGCGCCTTTGTCATCCACCAGAAGATAACAGGAACAATCGTTGCTAACGGCCTCGATACAGCAAAGACATGCACCTGAGACCTTCGGTACCCTGGCTATTTCACGTCACAAAAGGCTCAAGAATCCTACAAGTGCGAATCAATGGAGCCGAAAGCTATACCTATACCCTCCTTAACTGATGCAAACTTTTAACCAATCCGCCGACATCGGGAAGGATTCCAAAGTCCAGCACGTCACATGTCGAGTTCAGTTGCTTCCAGGACGTTACGTACGAACAGCATGTCGAGTGGCCATAATCCCATCGTCCTCCGAACAACCAACACTCGCTTGTTTGGGTAACAAGTGGCGACGGGATAGGCGAACCTGGTCCATACTTTGGCGTAAGAAGCTCAAGCTTGTAAACTTTTGCTACAAAAATACAGAAATCAGTCTGTGATCCCCCATGACTGCCATTACAATGATATACAGCAAAACAGACATCGCATTCACTTTATCGAGGACGACTCATTCCGATACCACAGAGTTTCGTTGCTACCTTCCTTGGGCCTGCACCCTGCATCTTCAGCTGTGGCGGAATAGAATCGACGCACTGTTCACCTTGACCCTGTTCCTACATGCGCCGCGACAGTTTTCCGACGTAGCACGTTTCTTTCATAGTATAGTTTGTTAGGAGAACAATACCCTCTACTGTTCTCCTCAGTCATCGCTCGTTGGCAGAGGGTCTTGAACGGGCAAATGCTTTTGAAGGCGTGGTTTACCTCAAATAAGTATGTTATTTCCTATTCGACTTTAAAACGATATATCGACGCACTGTTAAAAGAACCGCCTTGAACTTCCTCATTATCGATGAATGACAATCCAAACTGAATATATATTTGTTTCTAGTGTCTAATTACATCCCAATTAATTACTTTTGAGCTCTCATTGTGATCCCGTCATAATTCCCCCGCGAAGTTGAGCGACATTTAGACAAGTCCACAAGTCCCCTACCCTGAACGTTGTCAAAAGTCTCAGCAAAATGACACAATTCTGTCGGTAAGTCGAACCCTTGAAAGACCCTACGAATATCTCGCCGATCTTACCGAATTGCAAGGCTAAAAGACTCTTGGCCAGACTTTGTGGATACGATTGGGTCACTAACCGCTGTCAATTGTCATTGCGTGTGACACCGATGCTGATCCCCGGGTCTTGACATGACGATCGCAATATCACGATGCAACTTGAAACATTAGCTACCAGCGAGTAGCAATTCATCGTCATACATTGATTCATAGCATTCCTCTATCGATTGTTCTCAAAGTCATCGAGTCAGAAAGACCTCAAATGACGCTATACATCTGTAGTAGTCGCGTTTCATCATAATCCGGAAACAGACATGTCTGTTATTCCCTTGTCCCGTCACAAACCATACTCAAAGCATCACCCCTCCACAATGTCCGCATTCCAGTGCCAACACGCTAAAGTCAAAGACCAAAAGAACAATCCCAAACTCCACGGGCCGATCCCCAGGAGTAAAATCCCCGAACCTTTTCTCCGTTTACGCTCCAGAAACCCTCTTCTGCGCTAGTCCCCCCAACTTCTCAGCAGCGGCCCCCAGACTCCTTGGGTCAGCGCCCTTGATCTCGACCTGCCCGTTGACAGCGACTTGCTTGCCCTCCTTGAAGAAGAGGAAAGTCGGCATGGCTGTTATGCCGTACTGGCGCGCGGCGTCCTGGACGTGGTCTACGTTGACTTTTGCGAAAGCGAGGACGTTGTCGACGCTGTGCTTGGTGGCGAGTTGTTCGTAGACGGGGGCGATGGCTTTGCAGGGGGGACACCAGTCTGCGAAGAAGTCGACGGCGACGTATGTTGTTGACGAGAGCAGCTTTTGAAGCTCATCGTTTGAAGTGATGTGATGCACCATTTTTGCTGGTATTGATCTACAGAGATCGGCAGTGAATTCAAGATGCGGTGAGATGAGAGCTCGATTTAGTTTCGGCAGTTGAAGTGAGTGATCTTGGCGTTTTTTGAGTCTGCGATGTGTTTTATATCGTTGTTTTTTGCTCTTTGCCTCCGCTTTCTCATGGATCTTGAGAGAATCGCAAAGAGCCGCTTTGAAATGGGAACTGCATCACGTGATGTTGCGCAATTTGGTGATTCCTCATCAAGGTCGATTACTGAGCCACGTGTAAGCCACACAATATTATGTCATGATTTGAGGCTGAAGAGCTCGGACAAATTAAGATCAACGAAACGTTTTAGCGAGAACAGAAAATAACTCAAAATGCAAATCATCAAGGTTCAGTCCCTGACTCTGTAAGATCTGACAAATGACCCCAACCACGGATATAAAAGACGTTGCTTATTAGGTTACAGCTGACATTTTTTGCGTTTCGACTGGGTTTCTACTGCGCCGCTTATTATTATTCTAGAAGGAAATATTAGGCATTGCTTTTTTGGTGTCTTGCATGCCCCAGACCCAAAACTACCCTGCAACGATCACAAGCTACTGTACGTAATATCAATCAGCAATCGTCGCATAACATGTTACAAGTTACCCAGTCTCGGCCCTTGGTCAATTTATCACCTCCCTCTTAAGGCTGCCTCCCGCAGTGAAGTGGACATTTATACGGGGGTTCATTCGCTAAGGTAAAATCCGGAATCATCTCCGGAGGCCGAGTCACCTTATAACCCACCATAAAAGGGTACAGTACACAGCTCCATTGCTTGGCCAGCTTGGCTATCGCGGAGGCTATGAATCTTACCCCGGATGGAACAAGTTATTGAGAGAGTAATGCAATAGTTCAGGGGAATAATATCGGGGAACTTGGGTCGGTTATCGTTTACCGATACGCACGTGTTAGAAAAGCCAAGACTGTAGCCGAGAAGCCAGGCCTAGGAGATAAAGAGCAGGTAACATTTACCCAGAATCGATAGCTAAGAAAAAGAGGCTTGCATAGAAGCGAAACGCTTTGATGCAAAAAGAAGCTGAATGGAAGGGAAAAAAAGAGACATGTCACTCATGAAATAAAAAAGAAACGCCTCCCACGAGTCACGTAATTCGAGATGCCTTATTCGGTAAGTGGGGATCTATGCTCCTCTTTGACAGGACTAGAAGCAGTTAATCAACGCGCACCATCAATCAATTGTGTGCCAGCTAGGTTAATATTGGGTGGCCCGGATAACTCGGTCTCAACTTCAAGATAAGCGTAGAATGACAAGAAGGAGGGGGAGCTGAGACAATATCTGTTACTGACGATCCGGCTCAATCTTCCATTTGTCTTGTGGGTGCTAGAGTGACCGAGTCAAGTCCCCTGATGCCCACGCGATCGGTCGCTTGGCGCACGAGACTAGCAAAGTCTATTGGCGACCATGAGCCCACTGTAAATCAGCGCCTAGCTCGTTCGGGGAGATAGAAAACAGGGTCAGCGGGCATGATCCGTTGCAGAGGGCAGAGGCACGGAATGAAGACGTTACGCGAAGGCTGGAGCGCCGCTGTCGCAGTTGTACCAGTATCTACTAGTTCGCCACCGAAGGGGAAAAAGAGCGCTTTCAATCCTTCCAGGGCTTGGTCTGCTTTTGGCTTTGTTCAAGACAGGGTAGTGTTCTAGACGTGACATG